GAGTCTAGGAGCATTGCGGGATAAGCACACAATTCCTAAATACAGGGAGAGGAGAGAAGTGAAAGTTAAAGAGAGGATTTGGCTCCAAACTACAAAGTCTCAATGTAAAATTGTAAATGAAAATGATCTTGAAGCCACTCTGGCTTCCAGCTTGACTTCCAGCAAAACAAGAGGGTCCACAACCTTACACGTGCGTTTGCCCTGGTAGTTGAAAGTTCATATCCCTAATTAGGAGTTTTGCCTCTATGACATAAAGGACCCTCTGACAGACAACCCATTTTATTTTTACCTGATGGCCCACTGACACAGGAAGTTCCGATCAGTTGTGATGTAAATCTTGGGCGCTTTTGGGGGGTTTTGTTTTTGCCTCACTCTGGGTAGGTTTTGGGGAATGGCCGCCCTGGGAGGAGAGAGGGAGTTAGTAGGGAGAGAAAAATGGGAGCAGGGCTTTGACCTGCCTGAGAGGAGCCCCTGCTGACACGGTCAGTCTGACCCATTGAATGGTCTGAATACGATAAATGCCGCTTTATCCTGCCTTGAAAGGCACGAGATAGCACAGTCTAAATGCCTGGGCATGCTTAAATAGGCGACTCGGGATGTTTGAGTTGAGCGTGTTTGAAATCTGAGCTCTCTGACAGCCTGGGAGCTGCCACAGGTCACCTGCCTTGCTCCGTAGGGACAGGCCCAGGTCTCACAAGAAATTGTCCGTAGACGAATTGTAGTACAAATTCCTTTCTTTGTTGGTTGGCCTCTTTCACTAGACCATGGCCTATAAAATTTTGTAAAAACAATTCTTAAATATTATTTGAAAGGGCAAATGGCCCACGCTGAAAGGTTTGACAGTTTGACATATAGTGCATGGTTTTGATAGCTCGGAAACTGAAAAGTGTGGCCAAGATTCTCCCCCTGCTTGTTAGAAGCCTGATGTTTTTTAAATAGTGTCTTGTTGCTGTGCAGAGTTCCTCTGCTCCTCGAAATCTGACAGGGAATGAGTCTGCTTCAGTGGTCTTAAATCCTTTTAGACTAATTTGTGAGAGAGCAGCAAAATACTGTAGCTAGCGCCTTCGAATCCAGCGTCCAAAAGGGCCCGAACCAGGTAGTGCCAATTAAAGAGCCATTCGGATAATCATATCAACGCAGGTCACGTTAGAGTCTTCTGATAACGCCAGAGCCTGTGCCTAGAGAGAGAGAGGAACCCAGAGTTTCACTTCAGTGAGGGGGAAGAAAGGGATTCGAGTGGCCGGGTCTCATCAGGGTGGAGGAAGTTGCAGGGAGTGGATTTCTGCGTTAGGATGTGGCGTGCGTGCAGCCAGGGTGCGCTCCGCGCCTGGCGGCTGCCTCTGCATAGCCAAAGGCCATTTTCAGGAGCCTCTGGCCCCTCAGTCACTGGCCTGCTAGTTAATTGCCACACGGACTTCATGACACATGGGCAGATAATATGACATTTTCGGTTTCTGTCACTAGCAAACGCCACAACGTTGCTTGCACTAGTTGCTAAGAAGCTGTCAGAAACCATTAGCAGTTGGCTAAAGTCGCCCTATGGCGTTTCCTCATAGCATCAGCAAAACGAGCATAAATCACCCACTGGAGCCTACTGCTATCCTAATGAGGCTGTAAGCTTGTTTATGGACTAGCATCATTTTTATGATTATTTCCACCTTTTCAGTTTGCCTTCATTTGGCGGCAGGAGAAGTCAGCTCCAGGAATGAAGTCACTGCTGACATTTTACAAATGTGGTTCAGAGCTGCTGCCTGCTGCCGTGTGGTCGGCCGGCGGTTCTCCAAGTTTGTTTAGTGATCTTAAAAATAAAAAAAGGAAATAAATCCTCCGGAGACCGCATGGAGGTGACTGTATCAAATTGCAGAGTGCATGGAAATGCTAAAGGTACAATTGACCATTTAGACTTTCCTCTGAGGTGGAGGCATTTCCAGATCAATTTTCAATTTTCGAAAGTGGAAGAGGTTAAACAATTTATTAAAATCTATGAAAGTGTTTGCTTTTAGAATAGTCTGTTTTATTATGCTCTTCTCCTTCCCCATCTTCTCCATTTCCCTAACTTGTGTCGGAAAGGAGCAGGGTTTATTGTTTTAGGCTTTTCTGAACATGCACCAGTATTTACACTGGATTGAAAGCATTTGCTTCCAATGAAAATCTTGTCTTAGATTACAACCCAGCAGTGTAATTTCCCTCCCAGATGGGAGTAAAGTAGCTGTATTTGCCTAAAAACAGTAGGAAGAACAAACTGTGCATTAAGCCAAGGCTGTTTTTGGCTTGAGCTAATGATGTAATAGAAACCTTTTATTCGGGAGAGGTCACTGCCAGGGACTGAAGGGGGTGATCTGGCTCCTGCTTGAAAGGTTTCTCCATTGTATCTACATAAGTCTTCACTTAAAAAATTCTGTTCCTAATGCTTCTGCTTTCATACAGCAGAAATAAACAGGAAAGGTTCTGGTGAGTGTTACACATGGAATGCAGAAAGCCTTCCTCTCCTAATGGAGTATATAATTCAGGTGCCCTCAAGGCACGCTTTCAGGAATTCTTTTGCCTGAGGTAATGGGAAGCTAAGGTTGCTTTAAGGCCTTGATTATCTATTGATGCACAAAGCTGGAAAAAAGTCATCTCTGCTGGATTATAGTAGATATTTCCATAAATTATCAATGAATTCTCTTCTAGGCAGGCACTAGGCATTGCTTGCTAAATTAATCTGAAGGGGTTTGAGATGGATAAAAAGGCTATTTTTTTTTTAAAGGTGGAAAACAATTGCAGAGAGGTGGTGAAAAACAGTATTGTTAGGTTATCAGCTTTTCATTTTTAATCAATGATCAAGTAATATGTTTCTTTTCCTTGGTTACCTTTTGCATATTGAAAGTGGATTGGCCCATTGAAATTTTAAATGCTGTTGAGTTGTTTTCTTTTCTCATGTTTCTTTAATGAATTGTTATTTTATATGGTAAATTGCTTCTCTGAATAAAAAGCCTCTTTAAATACTGGACTTTCAAAGAATTTATTAGGCAAATCCAAGGGGACTACTCATAAAACACTTGGCTATGCAAATAGTGAGTTTGGTAGGTAGAAGGGGCACTGATTTAGGGGTGTGGGTGTCTGGTGCAGCACAGATCCCAACAGCTGTGTGCTCGGACACATGACCTTGAGCCAGTGGAGGAACACAGCACTGTCTCCACTGCCATGGTGGTGTCTTTGGAGTTCCAGGTCTTCGTGATCTTTTACAGTAAGAACACAAGCTAGAAGTCTGTGTAACTTTAACAAAATGGATGGATTTTAAATACCATAAAATTGTGGAGTTTAAATTAATAAAATGTTAAGCTCGGAAAGTTTTGCAAAAGTTTTGCATTTGTGGCATGTGCTGCAATCATAATACAGATGTTGGAATAAGTCTGTTCTTCACCCAACAAATTTTTTAAACTTTAACTCAGCATAACTCTGGGGAATTTCGGGGGAGGGGGGAACGTGGAGGGGCACTTTTCTTTTTTCAGGGAAAGGGGGTGGGTCCCCTTAGGGAGCTGTTAAAAACAATTGATTTGTCAGAGCATAACTTCCATAGATTAGACAGAAGAAAATGAAATCAACATAATAGAGAATTCTTTTTGTATGTAGGCCCTAAATAACAAAAATGAGAAATACAGAAATTCATGAAACTACCTAAATGAATCTGAGGCTTGTTCCAATGTGCAGTCACCAGAAAACTTGTCTTACCAAAGTATCAGGTTCTTTGGGCCATGTAGATTGCTCTCCAATCACTTATTTGCTCAGTGAATGTGCTCTTGGGTGTATTTGTTACCTCATTGCTAAGCCTGGCTGTTGTAGCTCTTCTTTCTGGGCCCAGATCAACCTGTCAATTTCTAAAAGCCAGTAGCTTCCCAGAAGAGCTGGGGTGCCAGGTGGGAGCTGTGGCTCACTGGGGAAGGATGTTTGACAGAAGCTAAGCTGCTTTAACAGCGTGGTGGGTTTGGTCCATTGTTGTTTTCCCTTTTGACTTTGGTGCCAAGACAAAAAATACCTCCTTTCCATTTGTACCTTATGACTTATTTTGGACTATGTGATTAGATGCGTTGAAATCTTAAATTTTTTTCTTATTAAATATGCCATTATAAATATGGCATATTAAATATGCCATTTTATTTCATTTTGTCACCGAGCCAAAATATTTTTCTAGAAGACACAATTTAACTGTAACAAAAATCAGTAGAAAAATAGGATCCAATATAAAGGAATATGTTAGCAGGTGACATTTTAGTGAGAAAAATTTAAATCTAGAACAAATTTATAGAGACTGCCTTGATTATTAGTGTAATCCAATTCCAATTCACTGTTAATTTAGCATTACTGTATTTGATTTTAAGTAGTTTAAGTTTCTTAATTGTTTTTTAATTAAGAAACTACGTGAAGGGTTTTCCCTTACTAAACTTGATGCTCTTTTTCTATTATAAGAAAAATTATATTCTATTTGAAGACTTCCTATGTCAAACTGCTTATATGACAGATTGCCTACATTTCCCCATCCTAGTTTAACTAGTCTTAAGACAGATCACTTGTGGAAATAGTTGATATCTTAAATGCATCTTCTCACAAGTTGACATCAATGACTGTCTGTGGAATTTGAATACCCCAGCAGCGACAGCACTGCTGCTAATGACTGCCACCAATTTTAACTCCCCAGTAAGAGTTACACTTCACCTGGCTCAGCTATATATATTGGAATAATTACCATGGCAACAAAGCCACTAAAGAGATTGGATATTTCCCTCCATTCCCTTTGACTTTTAGCACTGTTCTTTGGAAGTTCTTTAGACCTGACTACTTTTGAGCCTAGGCCTTGTTCTTTATCTTTGTCTTTAAAAAACAAAAACATAACAACAGTACCAAAGAAACTATTAATCATTTCAATTGCTCTTTTGGTTTTGTTTATATCCAAAGGCATTCTATTTGAATAAAGCATGTCAAGGTAGCATCAGTCAAAATTTGATTCACTATGTTTGCAGGTGATGGCTTGGACAACAGTGTAGCTTCCCCCAGCACAGGTGACGATGATGACCCTGATAAGGACAAAAAGCGTCACAAAAAGCGTGGCATCTTTCCCAAAGTAGCCACAAATATCATGAGGGCGTGGCTGTTCCAGCATCTAACAGTAAGTGGATTCTAAATGACGTATGTAAACTAAATATGGACAATGAACCAGTTTTGATTTTAAAAAATGAGAAAAAAGTGATCCCTCTGGACTTGGAATATTTCATAAATCACTGTGTTCCCACAGTTTATATGAGAGTGTTAGCACTTGTTTCCTAGATACATACCCCAAGTGAGAAGTTTTATTTGAAATTCACTATTGCAATTTTATTAACTTTTGTAAGTTACAAGGTTTAGGAGTTCACGTGCACTTAAGAATTTTAAGTATGTCTGTCAATGATGTTGCTTTTCTAAGTGTGACCCTTCAGTGCTTAGAATCAGCTCCTACTAAGAAGAAAGTAAGACAAACCCTAGAGAGAAAGACTTAATATCTTCCAGTGGTACAGTGGACCTTCGTAGTGAATGGTCCACAAAATTTAAATCATGTTGCAATGGCAAGATGATCACATAATTTGCTTTTAAGTGGTTTGAATGCACTGGCTTCCATTACAAAACATTCGTGTGAGTCAGAGCTCCATAGTGAAAGTTGTCCCTGTATTTAGAACTGTAAAGGAAAACAGCAATATAGAGTCAGCTCTTCCTGTGTAGTCCCTGGTGACTTTTCAAGCAGAGTAACAGTTTATATTGTCTGTGTGAGTATTGCTGTTTTCACTGCAGGAATTCTCCTGGAGATGTGAGAAACTGGAGATTTGGGGCTTTATGCCACCGGGGGATTTGTTTTGTTTGGTTATTGTTCAGAATGAATTTCATGTTCAAAATATTTATAAAAATAATATTTGGGTGGATATTTTTATAAGTGCATACTGATTTAATGGCACGAAGGAAGAAGGCAAAATGAAAATTTATGGAAAAAATAATATTTTGAAAACCAGCAAAATTGTTGACCAGGAGACTTTCGATATTAGGGACAAAGGATGAATTTAGACAGATTGTAGCATAGCTAACTAGATGAATGAATGCTTAAAACTCTTGAATTGTTTTTAATGTCAGGAGACAAATCTTGTATGTTACTATTTTTAGCCTAGTTTGATTTTCTTAAAGTCATCTTTTTCCTTAAATATCGAAGTTAATTCTGCATTGTCATAAACATGTCCATTATCTGCATACCCTGGCTCACTTTCAAAGCTGTGTTCCTCGGTGAGTTGTTCTGGTACAGGGACACAAACTCAGGGGACGTCTGAAGGCCACATTGGTTCTGCTCCTCTAGATAAGAGGCAGTGCCTCCAGTAACACTCAAGGGTGTAAAATAATCCAGATTTTCCAGCATCTGTGGATAAAATAAAAATTGAGAGTGGCAGGAGTAACCAAAAAAAAAAAGTTTCTTCCCTTCGCCTCTTCCCAATCATGATTCCAAACAGTAACTAGACTACACTGACAGTTTTTGAGTAAATTTTAGGGTTTGGTTAATGCTGGAAGTTAGTTGAAGGTTTAGGTTGTGTTAGCTGTTATGAGTTTGACATCAAGTTAGGTTTACCTAAAATCTGATTTGGCTGCTGTTACTTATCTGACACTTGTAGCAGGTACTAAATATTTTGAGATCTGCCTTGTGCAAATACCCCATTGAGAACTAATCAACCACTAATGAACTGGGAGGGAAGGAGGACCAGGGTCTTGAGGGCATATCATGAAAAACAAATAAGATGACATTTAGATAAGAAGTGACAATTGGTCAAAGGTGCTGATGCAACCATGCTGATATTTCATCACCAGAGCTAACCAGCTAACCTACTCTGAGTAATGAGTTGGAATGACTGGATAAAACCATAGTATCTCTGAGGTCATTACCAAATCAGTTCTATTTCCTACACTAACAGAAGAAAAACAAGTAGGTTTCTTCAGCCCCCATCTCAATCTGCACAGGAGCTTTGGTTTTACTTGAAACTGAGGTGTCCCTGAATAAAATATAATCAAATATTGGTTCAGACAGAATCAGGAGAGAGAGCGCAAGTTATTTTATTCATCTGCCAGTTTTCCTGTTTTTCTAGATGATACACTTGTGAAGACCCTTGCATAGAACTACATAATCTTCTTTAAAAAACAAAATAAACTTTCCAACGGCTAGAATGATTTTACCTGCATTGCAAGGCTTCTGTGGACCGTGTGTTACTGGGGCAATTGTAATAGAAATTATTCATGAACTGCCTGATTTCCCAAGGCCTGACTAATTGTCTTCAGTTTTGAGGTATTTGCTGGCCTATGCCACTGCCCTGGAAGGGGAAGCCCATTCGTCCACATCTCCTTGGCTTTCTATGAATACTTATAGAAGTTGCCTTGTGGTGTCTGTTGGGTTTTCCTACCCTTCTTATCCTCTCCATTGCCTTCTGCTCATATAGAAATATTGGTAATCATAATGGTCTCTAAAAAGCTAATTGTTCTTATAACATTGTCTAAGGAACAAAGTTAAGAGATATGTTTAAATTTTTCACCCTCCCCCCTCCACCACCATGAGAAAGATTCCTTCCCTGTTCTCTAACTGCAAGAGCAAACACATCTCCAGTTATAAGGAATGCCTTTACCCTTGTTTTGTTACCTTTCTTAAAGGAATGCAGGTAATAGTTATAGTTAAGAGCTAATTCTAATAAATTCTATGGAAAAACCTATAACATTTAAAGAGAGTTATTGTTGTTTGTCTAAATGTAAGTAACTACTGACAACTCAGTACTAATCCTTTAGTAACTTTATTTCAAGTTCTGAGAGGTCTTTAGGTATGCACAATTCATTAGGAAGACTGTATACAAATTTTAAATGATCACATTACTGCTATGTGATTAATGCAACTTATCTAGAAAACCCTGTCTAAAATCTTGCTAGATATAAAAGAGCAAATGAAATGTTGGACAGTTAAAACAATAGCAGTTACAATTTATGAGCAAATTGTAAACTAATCTTTTTTAAATGCCAAAAGGCATCTTCTGAAACATCACACAACTTTTTGAAAGCAAATTGCTATTTTTTCTTTTTAAAATAAATGGATCAATCCTTTCATTGGGTTTATTCAGTGAAAAAAAATCTGCCCTTGAAGGGGCTTTAAAGCATTTCTGTGTTAGCAGAGTAGAATAAGCCCTGAACAAAAAAAAAAAAAAAAAACTTTCTGGATTTTCACCCCAGCTACATGAGAAGAAAAATGTGCTGGTCTGTAGTTATCCACAGGTAGATTTAATCAGTAGCACATTTTACTACTCCAAAGAGAGAACTAAAGCTGCCTTCTTGGACTCACAGTCTCTAGCAAGCTAAACTGGACCTACTTGTATATAATGAAAACAATAAAAGAAAAAGGAAACGAGTTTTAAACTTTGGTGATTATGGGGTAAAAGGAAATTTCAGTGAGGTAAATTCCCAGCTTAGACTAAGTTGAACATTTGCCAGTGTTGATAAGTAAAGAAGGTCTCTTAAAAGAAACTATTCCCTGGAATTGAAAAGAATGACTGACATGATTTAGATAATAAGAATTAGAAAGAAAATAAAAGCACTTATTAATAGAATAAAACGCTTGCATTTGCCTGAAGATAAATTATTGCAAACAATTAAAAAGTGCTTAATATTTGCGTATGAGTCACTGTGTAGTCACAGTCAGTTCAGGGGCATATGTCACACATCAAAGTTTCTTTTTCTTTCTTGAAGGCATTATTCCAACTGTAAACATAACCTGCTATGTCATCGTGCTTAAGCTGGATGTGTTTTGTGTGTTTATCAGTTCTTTTGCTACATAGTGTTACAAATATATGTGTCTAAGGGCTTAGTGAAAATGAGGAAAAGGAATAAATGCAATGTTTAAGGTAAAAATCAAGGGTAATTTTTCTTTTCTGCTTTCTTACCCTATCATATTGCAGTTTTAAGTATAATCTAAATAGAAAAGCAGTTAATGTGGTTCTTATTTAAAATATGCAGGGACTATATTTTCCTGCATATTGTCACTGTGTGTCCCAGGAATGCTGGAAATTAGGGAGAGTGGAGGTAGTTAAAACATACAGCTACAGATTCAGGTGCCGAAAGCATTGGAGGGTCAGCATGTGGTATTGACCAGCAGGAGGGGTGATCCTCAGGGTGAACTGGGGAAGGTGACCCTAAAGGTGAATTGCAGATTTTCATTCATATTTTCTCTCTCGCTCCCCATCTGAAGGATCCCATTAGGTTAAGCTTTACTTTGGAGACAAAGTTTGCTCCTATGTCAGATACACATATTTGCTATGTGTTTTTATTTCATTTCCTTTCTTTTTGTGTGTCTGAACTTCTAGCCTGGAAAATATTTTTTGTGTGTGTAGCCAGCTTTATGTCTTGGTTTCTGATTTATAAGACTTTCTTCTCATTGTGGATAAAGCCAATGTGAGGGGTTGTAGAATCTTCCAGGTTGAGAATAGCGTTTCCATAGAAACACTATTAGATGAAAAGTGCCCTGCGGGTCCGCCACTCTAAGGACAGAGTAAATGGAACTGAATTGGGAATTGAATGCTCTAGAAGAGACAGATGTTGTTTCATTGGTTTTTCTTTTAGTAACAAGATCTGTTGGAGACATCTTAGTGTCATATCTCTCCTTGCAATGTTGGAAGAATTACTCTCGAAATATTATGAATTATTACGATGAACAAGTACACTAATTGGTATCCAGATAACCCATTCTGTTGATCAAGGTTAGCGAAAGGTCAAGAGGCAGGTAGAAGGACCTGTAGGTAGGCATGTAGGTAGGTAGCAGATGGAATTTTCTCCTCTCCTCCCACTTCCATTTCTCTCTATCTCTCTACCTCTACACTCTGCCAGTTTTGACAGTGAATATTCTGATTGTGCCTTCCGGGCTAGAATCCTTCAGCTGCCTGTCCTAAATGACACGGGGCAGTTCCAAGCAAATGGTAGGAGAGGACAACTATATTCTCATATTCTTGCCTGAAATGTCAATCAGGGTGATACAAAGTCTTTGAGGAAGGCAGTCCTTTCTTCAAACCTGTCCTAACCTACCTTCATTGTCATATGTCCCAGGCAGGGGAAGTGGTTTGTGGCGATAGCAGG